AAAGTATTATAATAAAATATGTACAGACAAGATTTTTTTCTATTGTAAAACAGAATAATAAAAATATTAATGTAAGCAAGAGACATTTTTATAATAAATTAATATTATTTGCAGGACAGTAAATTATGTTTATAAGTTATTTTTTTCATTTACTTATTTCTTTATCTATATTTATTAAATGTTATAAATATCTATAATATAATATTTATAATTAATATTTATTAAATTTTGTTTTTTTGTTAGTTGTTAAATATGTTTATTAGATTTCTTAAAATATCATTCTGGGCATTATTCCATCGAAGTATTGTAAAGTTCTAACAGATGGCAGTACTAGTAGCCCATATAAACATGGCTGCATAGGCTTCACATTTTTTCGACAACGCTCCTTTCTTTATCTCCATGGGACTTCAGGTCGGCACTGTACTAGCAATATAGAAGTATTATATATATGCTGCTAGCCATATATGTAATACTTCTATATTGCTAGTACGGTGCCGACCTGAAGCCCAAATGTTACGGTGCAGACAATATAGTAGCCTCTCTCTCGCGCAAGATCCAGTTGCTTTGTGCGCATGCGGTGAACATTCAAGCACGCTTGGGCATTTCTCTTTCTCGCGTTCTTTCCAATGCTTTGTCTCGCTCGCACTCGCTTAGTAGACGCGCCTGCGCATAATGATGCTCGACTATCTATGCCCATATTTGGACTTCGTGCGTCTCTCTTTCTCGGGCCTCGTGCCTCTCATTGCAAAGATACGCGACTAGCAATATAGAAGTATTATACATATATATGCTGTTAGCACACAACGCGTGGCATTACTGTACACAACGCGTCAATGAATCGCGGAATAGGCGTGGGGATCGGGGCAGAGATGCCAGTTTGCGGACGCTAGCAACATGCTCAGCAAGTAGAGGGGATACACAGACGAAACGCACCAGGTGAACAGCCGTGTACGTGTGCGCTCAGCGCCTCGGCGAGTGGCTGCTCGCTTGTGTGCGCGTCCCCTCCACTTGGTGCTCCATTTTGCTAGCGTCCGCAAACTGGCATCTCTGGATCGGGGAGCAAGCGGGGCGGTTGCTCGTAGCACCAACAAGCGACGTGCGAACTAACTAGTAGCAATCGGTTGTCCACAACTACGTCGTGTCGATAATGTAACTGCTCTTCTTTCCTATTTTCTTCTCAAAACATAAAAGTATTGGCCATTTACTTAATATTTAACATTGACAAATAACATGTGTATATGTATATATGTGTTTAATAGATGGATCTATTAATGTCTCCGGTAAATGGAAGGAACGTATATTGTAAAAGTCTTGTTTAAAACAATATATGTATATTTAATATTAATATTTATATGTAACCACTAAATAAATATAATTCTATTATATTATTATTTTATTCTATTACATCTATATAGAGTATTGTGTATACAATTAAATATATATATGTAAAAATCAAAACATTAAAAAATGAATAGGGCAAACCGTATATAAATAAGATGAAAAAGATATAAAAAATAAATATATTATAACAAATAGATATATGCCAACTGTAGAACGTATTCAGAGGAACACTCACGGACACAGAAATCATACAGAAGAAATTAATTATATACAGGGTGTTTCAGAACTATGGGATCAAACTTCTAGGGGTTATTCAGTGCAACAGTAGAAAACATTTGAGTATAGGGACCCATGTCCGGAAAAGTGTCACTACCGCACTACGGCCCTAAGACGCGTTAAAATTTAGAAAGACGAT